TGGCGGTCGGGAAGTGCGTCCGCCGGGGCCTTCCTGCCCTGCGGTACTGGGAGGCGGCGGTAAAGGCGGGGTGCTCACACCGCCCCCCCGGGGGCGAAGCTGTACCCCTGAGGGGGTTCCTGCAGTGCGGGCGGGCTTGGGGAGCCCGTCCGGGGGTGAGGGGCGGTGAAGCTGCCGTTTTCCCGTGGAGAAATAAAGCGTTTTGGCCCCTGGCTCTGCTGCGGCTCCGCGTCTGCTGCCGGTTGTCCCGAGGGGACAGCTGCCAGCTTGGAGCAGGTCTCATCGCCGTTGAGTTGGGCAGCTGCCCGTGCCTTGCTTAGTGCTCCCAAGTTCAGGTTCTTGGTTTAACGCCGGAAAAGTGGGTGATGCCGCCATGAGCAGTGCTTGCTCGTGTGGTGTAGTTGCCAAGCACACTCGAACTTCTAGCTGTTTTTTGGAAAAATGTGTTGCTGGAGCTGTGGGAGTAGCAGCTGGTGATGTGGGTGCCACGGAGTGTCCTTTCTTTGTTTGTTTTTGGTGTCTGTGCTGCGTTCTCTTGTTTCCACCAATTGCAGCTCCCAGGAACAGAGTGGCTCTAATGAAGACATCTTGCTAGTGGCTGTTTTATGACTGTTTTAGTATTAAAATGCTTTTGATGTTGTCTTTGAGGTGGTAGTTGTTCATGCTACTGTGGAAGTGGACAGGTAACCCAGGGAAAAATTCTGCCTGGCCTAGATAATCAATTAAAAAATAAAAAGGCATTTTTGAGTGCTGAAGACCTGAAACAGCATGATTTGCCAGAGATTTGTACTTTCTTGTCAGTGAGGAAGTGCAGCTGGAAAGTATGTTCTTACTAAGACAGTAGTGGCCTGATTTTGTTGTTGAAGTGTATTGAGCACCTGGGGACTAGTGGAAAGAAGGAGGATGAGAAATTCCTTCTTTGTGAACTGTTTTGCTCCATCTCCAGGAGGATTTCTAAACCACGATAGAAGCAATGCAGAAAGAAGCTGGAACAGCTCTGATCCACTCATCAGTTGCTCACAAACAGGAAATCCTGCTCAGTTTCCCTGATAGAAAACCCTGGTTGTCAGGGCTCAAAACCACCTGCTGTTTTGGACAGTATGTCTTCCTAACTTAAGTCTCTTAACTTCTGTGTGGAGTGCCTTCCTCTTCCAGGGGATACACCCTATTTCCTCATGCCCTGGGAAAAGGCTGCCTCTGCTTGGTGAGCTCACTTTGAATCCCAGACTGGCAAATTCACAAGTAACCTCAGCTGTCATCCAGCCTCCACCAGAAAGCTTGACAGCGTGTGCCTTGTTTAGTTGTAGTTTGCCCTAGAAATTCTGTGTGTTTTTTCTTATCTTTGTTGTGGGCTCATGGCCCTGAGGTCCTGTGCAGGGAATGCAGGCTTTGGGGCAATGTTTCTGTGAGTCTGGTAGTTCTTGGTTGGAATATGAATTTTTCTGACTTCCTTTGTCAGCAAATGCAGCTGGCCTAGTTTAAACTGGGTGGCTAGTTCCTGTGCTGTTATCTCAAACACCAGAGTAATTTGTCTAATTAACGAGGACTGTGTTGACCAGAAATGGCAGTAGGTGTACTCTTCTGTTTTGAGTCACTGATATCTGTAAAACTAGACTAAACTTTGTTTCCCAGAAGGACTTTAACAGTTTTTCCTGTTGTTTTTTTCTTGCTACATACATGTGAACAAGAATATAATGCTGTTTGATGTGGGCAACTCTAGAAATGTCCATTCTTGTGCAAAGAGCATTTTTAAGTTCAAGGTAGCGATCTTCTGTAACCTTGTTCTGGCCTGTGGATAGTAACAGCTTGTGGATAGTAACAGCTTGTGTCTATACGGACTATTGACTGTTCCATCTTATGTTCTTTTTTTTTTTGATGTAAAAGTAACAGAAATGTGGAAAAATGAATAACGTCGATTTGCTGACTACTAGTCTGCAGAACAAATATCCGCAGTGGATGCTTACACAAAACGAAGAGGGAGTTTTGGGTGATAAAAAGGTATGTCATCACGTGGGGGAAATCTAGTTGGTTGCAGGCTGCATAATAAAATGACATTGAATGACATGCTTTTAGTTAAACCTGTGCCTCTGATATTTGTGAATGTTTACAGCAGTTCTATCCTATGAACTGTCATTAAATTTAGGTACTCTTGTGTTATTACTGATTGAATTAGCTTGTTAAAGTCTCTTTTTTCAGTTAAAATATCATATATCAACCAAAGACTGTTGCTGTTATCTATGTAGAAATTTCTTCCTGACAATCTTGAATATAAGGGAGCTTTTAATGCATTGCTCACCCAGTATTGTGGGCTGTATACCAGCAAGGACTGCTGTTTTTATCTATGTAATTTGAGAGCTGAAATTGTAGCCTGACAGGGGAGTTTGTTCTGGTAAGGCCCTCCAGCTTTCTTTGCTTGCACGTGTTCAGTATTTCGGAAGCAGTGCAGAGGTATCAGAAGAATTAATTGATCATCAAGATTATGTCAAAATTTCTGATGTTCTAAGAATGTTAATGTGTCCTTGGATGTTTTTTTCTGCATATATGAGCAGTTTCAGTATAAAATTTCCCACTAGAGAAGCCCGCCCCCCCCATGACATTTGAAACTGCTTTAACAATTAGAAAACTAATTAATGAGAGAAAAGCAGAAGACTCAGTTCAGCAGTTTCCCTTCTATAAAGTGGGAGTAAAAAATTAGTAGCATGGATATTAAAAAATGTCAGTTAAAACCAACATGACTTTAATTTGCTGTGGTTCAACCTGTGTACTGTGGCACCCTGCCTCAACAAGCTCTTTCAGGAAGGATTTTGATTAAACTTTCACCCTTCATTAACTGGAAGAAACATTTTGTTGTGCAAGCATAAAATCAGCAGTATCTTAGTTTCAGAATCTCCCCCTTCCAGGCAACTCATTTTTTCCAATACTGTATTAAAACCTGTTTTGTGGCCTCCTTTGATTGACAAGATTGTTTTGTTCGTGTTACTGTGTGATACTTAACCATATTTGCTGTTACTGGCATTGTAGCTTGCTTGTGTGTTTTTAACCAACCTGAAGGTTTTTCAGGCAGGTGAATGTTAGAAGTTTTGCAGTTCAAGTAAGTTTGTCAATCAATAACTTTTAGTCAATATGCTTCTGAAAGGGGGGGAAAAAATGCCAACTGGACTGTTACATTGCACCTTACCTTGTGTGCTTAAACCTTCGATTTGTAAACCAGTATTCATCAGCTGATGGAAGGTATAGGTCCTTTTAAATACTGCATGTACATTTAAATCCATGGAGTTTACTTACACTGTGTGAAATTCCCCACATGTTATATCTGGCAGGGTTGAGTGAAGTGGGCTGGCTGAAATATGGGACCAAGAAAATGGGGAAATGGAGCTATTGCATACAGCTGTACTGAAACAGATGTCTTGGCGGATTTTAGCCTGACCAGATCTGAATGACTTGAAACATGACTTAACAAATTATTGTCCTTTTTTTTCCTCAAATTTGAGGTGTGCAAGTGCTACAGCATTTGAAGTAGTGTTGAGGGCTTTTGACACTGTAAAAAATGGCTGTTTTCCCTAACCTTGTTCTTGGGAAGCTACTGGATGTCTTTGGTGAGAAGAATCCAACTAAATTGAGGTGAAAACTCAGCCTGCACAATTTCAGTCCAAGTGCTTGGAGTTAAGTGAAGAAATCAGGGCATGAACCCAAATGTTTTTCTGAAGGGGCGGTGTCACCCTGTTGTCAGTTGACGGCGATACTGGCCCTGCGTGTGGAGCACAGTTCTGCAAGGTTTCAGCAACCACCTGTGCCAGCCTTGCTCTGGGATTCAGCGTTGGAGTTGTTCGCAGCGTCTGTAGTGCTGGCGCATCTCTGAGGCAAGGTTAGGTGCAGCCAGTAACCGAGCCTCTTCCAAATGTTGTTCAACAGAAGTCTGCTGTTCAGAGAAGCGTTTTGGAAGACGGGCTGCCGTTCCTAGAGTTCTGTGGCTCTGTTGTTTACAGCTACGAAGCCAGTGACTGTTCCTTTATCTCGGAAGATATCAGGTAATAGCTCTTATACTGTTTTTTCTTTTTGAGTGCTTTTTCTTTTCTGAAGAGGACTTGGCTCTTCTCTCTGTCTCCTTTTCCTGGCTGATTGTGCATTTGGTGTGTCCAGACGTCAACAGTTCAGCCAGAGAAAACATCTGGTCATATTGGCTGTCTTGTTATGCGTGGCAAATGTATCTTACTGGCTGCAAGCGCAAACTTGCACCTCTTTCTCATGATGGTGAATCATCCCTGTGAGCGAGATCTGTGGTTTGTCTGCAGTGTGTGGTGGCTTCAAAATACCTCTCCATTGTGTGATGCAGTAATAGTTTCCCATTTGGTCTTTTTATGCCATCGCTGAACCTTGCAGTCCTTTTAAGCAGAAATAGTAAAGGCTCTAAAGCAGGTTCTTTGCCTGTTGTAGTACAGATAATTCCATGAACTTCAGTGACTCCATGGGGAAGTATGAGCTGTAGGAAGTCAAGCATGCGTGTTAATTCATAACTGGGGACTGTATATTTGAAAGAAAGGTAGTAAATTCACGATGCAGCTAGATTACTATTTCTCCCCTTTTTTTGCATAGCACAGCTCATATTACTGGGGAAAACAGTTCTGTACAAAACTTCCAGTGCAGTGGGATAGATAAAGAGCAAGCTTTCAAGGGGATATAAACTATTCCATCACCTTCTGTATCTGGCTATTTCCTTAGGCTTGCTGTTCTACTGTTTGCATGCAGTAAGATGGGCCAAGGTTTGAAGGGTTTCTTGTAGCTTTAGGGACTAGCAGAATTTCACTTCCTGATGGTCTTGATTTTAAAATGGTTTCTGTCCTTTACATGAGAAAGGAAAGTTGTACTGTCTGTGATCCTCTCAGTCATCTTTATATTAAGATGACTTAAGCCTGGTATTTTAAATACTGGTAGAAGAACAGTTAAATGTGAAGAACATCCATTTCTTTTCAGGCAGAGTTTATCAGATGGGGCTGCTGTTGGATTTGATATTGAATGGCCACCATCATATACTAAAGGAAAAATGGCGAAAATAGCCGTAATCCAGATATGTGTAACTGAGGAGAAATGTTACTTGTTTCACATCTCTTCAATGTCAGGTACTGTACTTCATCTCTTAGTAGTTAGGGCATGAATTGCCCTCTGTTTCTTGTGATTAAGCTTGAACTTAAGCCTTGAGCGAAAGCTGATATTTCACACTATGTTGGTTAGTAAAAATCAATCCTTTTCCCCTTTTCTGCCTATAATAAAGGGATTTATTCTGTGAATATTGCCTATGTATATCAAGGGGATCTTCGCCCAAGTCTTGCCCTGTGTGCTGGCATACAGCATTTTAGGTTCTGGACAGGGCAAAAGAATCTTACTTGAGGATTATTTTTCTCTTTAGAAAGAATATTTTAATTCAGTTTTTAAAAACTTAATTCCCTGCTCATATAATGAGCTTTCTGTTCAGTAACAGATATACATAAACAACGAACCTAAATTTAGCAGGCTGTGTTTCATTTTAATATGGCTTTGATAACAAAAACCCTCAAAAATGATGGCCGTCGTGCTGTTTGTTCCTAATACCTGCATTTTGTGACATTGGTTTTCAGAAAGAGTACTGGATGCCTGATGTGATGCAGCTGTGGGGAGAGAAGGGGGTGTGCTCAATAGTCTGAATTCATTATCGATGCGAAGAAAAGCTTCCAAATAGGGAAAATAGGAATGAGGGAAGGAGGCTGTAATTTTGTAACCTTTGGTTTGAATGTTAGATTGAAACTATGCCTGTGAGATGTCTCTGATTTCCCTGGGGTGTGCATGCTGAGGTATAATAGCGATAATTTTAATGTTGGTGTTCAATCCTTTGTCATTTATAGCAAATGGGGTGGAAAATTTAATTGCTGGAGGCTATTCAATCCAGGAGGCAGAAAGGTACAAGTGCACAAAAGAAAAAGGTTTGAGGAAGGGAAGCTACAGGATGAAGAGTCATAAAGAGCTGAAATGCTTTTTATTCTAGAAGTGAAGATGTTTGTGTGTTGATGCTGAATACGGTCGCTTGTGGACTACTGTGTGTTACAGCAGAAGCTGGTATTTCCTTCTGAATCATTTTCTAAAATTTCCATTCTTGCCAACGGGAGATGCACTCTGAACCGAGTGAGATGTCAACCTTTTTGCAGGAACCACAGCCAGTTTCTGCTTATTATGCAGAATACTTTTGATCTACAGAAATGTAGATCTTGGCAGAATTAGCTGGTTGGGTAAGACTTATTTTCTGTTGCAAAGAAAATAATGCTTCCTTCTGCAGGAGGAAGAGTGAAAAGTTCTTGGACTGTGTCTAAAGGACAAAAATTACATATATTTATCAGGAAGATTCTTGGTAATTTTCCGTTTATGTTTTTTTCTTTACAGACTTCTAAGAAAACGTGGCCTCCTTGTCCAATTGTAGCCTCTGTATGGTCTTGAATTTAGACCTTTTTAGTTCATACAGTCACTTTTCTAGAAATGAGGTGGTAGGAATGGAGCACAAGCCCTATACTGAGAAGTTCCTGTCCTTGAAGGTTTTTATGATGATATTCTTAGGTGAAAATCCCTTGTTTATTCCATCCGCTCCATATGTTGCAGGCTTTTATTCAGCTGAACTGTATTGATCTCCTCTACAGAGGGTTTTCCATATTGTGTTATGGCTGAGGTGCTTTGGCAACGTTATACTTTGTCTGCATCTTAGAGAACCAGGCTGCTACAGTTTTGTGGTTTTTCAACAGTAATTTTGTAATGCTTTGAATTGGACCTGCAACTTCACAGCCCACAGCACAGCTGATGGTGGCTATAGCTGCAAAAGTATCCGTATAATGTGTCAGTGGTAGCCACGAAAATGTGGTGGTAGCTGTGTAAAAATAAATTTGGTGATGCACAGTGATTATTGAAGTATATAAATACTTATTACAGTAGTGAAAAGGTGAAATTTGAAATCAAACCCAAGCCAGATATTAAGTAGTATGTGTTTGTGCAATACTGCGTGTTTGTAGGTACTAGAATTACACTTGAGACTAATTCAGGGTATCCAGCTGTGGGTTCCTAAAGGCATGTATTTAAATAAGATGCTCTGAATTTTAAATGGAAACAAAAACAGAGGGGAGAAAAAGGCTGCTTTCGCTTGAGTATGAAGTGTCTGTGGCTCTTCCCTCCTGTAGAAAACCAGATGTGAGCGCTGCATGCTTTTATTCAGTCCTGTAAACTTGAAAATACCCTTTGATCCAGGATTGCTGTGCCAGCAGTTTGGGGTAAATCAACATATAATCCTTAGCATCTGTGTACATCCTTGCATATTTTTTTCTTATGAGACTGGTCTTGGCAAAGCATCTGGTTATCTAGTTGGTGAATTCTGTTTCCAAATGCTTTCGTTGGACCGCCCAGCATTAGCACTGAGTATGTTTTCCTGATTATTCCCCATGCTTAGGGTTTAAACTGTTTCCTGGGAATGTGAAATAGCAAAACCTGGAAAGGAATAATGTGGGAAATACTAAAATATTGCATTTGGTTTCATCAGCATCTGTTTCTGAGAATTAAATTTTTTTTTCCAATTAGAGGTTGCCTTTTTATGTGATTTAATGATGAGTAAGACAAACGTAATACGGTGGTTTAATTATTTTTACTTGATTTGTTTTCAGATGCAGAATGAATTTGTGTATTTCAAGTATTTCATTCATGCTTGTCTGAGGCTGATGCTTTACAACAAGTTGGTGTTTCCAGTCATTCTGGAGTACAAATACTGACATAAACAGAGCAACTTTGGGGGCTTTTCCTCTAAAAGCACAGGTTTTTGCAGATGGCCTTTGTGCTAGGTTTTTGTCATTTCCATTAGTCTTTCTGGCATCTTCCAGTATTTAGTTTCTCATGTTTGGGCTTAATCTATTTTAGGTTTTCCCAAGGGACTCAAAAGACTGCTCGAAGATGAAACAATTAAAAAGGTTGGCGTAGGAATTGAGGGAGATCAATGGAAGCTGATGAGTGACTTTGAAATCAAACTGAAGAGCTTTGTGGAGCTGGCTGACATTGCTAACGAGAAAGTAAAACTTAAAACTTTTTTGTTGTGGGAGGGAATCTTGTTATTGTGCTGTACAAAAACAGGCTTCCTTGTCGTCTTAGCTCAATGCTAATAGCAAACACATTCTGTAGAATAAGGCAGAGATGTATTGTAATGCTTAAAAAGAACTTGGAGTCTGCAGAACTAAGTACTGTCTTTCAGTGAGTCAGTTCTTAATGAATGTTTGTCCCCTCTCAGGTCTGTTCACCTTTTGCTTTTGCAATGTATGGCTTTTTAATTCAGCTGCAGATGCGTTTTCTTTATTCTTAGTGATGGAAGTTGCCAGATTGTGTTAAGTCAGAGTTCTACTGGCAATTGTGTACTTGTCCCAGCAATGGCTGAACCTTTAAAATAAGTTGCCAGAAATACTGTGGAGGCAGTGAAGGACTGATGCCTGTTTGAAGGGAGGCAGTCCTCCTGCCGTGGCTTGCTTGGTGCTGGAAGGAAGCATCGAGGTCTGTCTTGAACTCCTCCAGGAGGACTTGTTTGATATGTGATCTGGAGCTGTAGAAATATCTTAACTTCCACGACTCTGAAGTTGATGTTGCCTCTGTTGTTATGTGGGTGCAGTTTCCAGTGCCTGATGACCTGTTTAGAAGTAGTGTTGCATTTGGCACACCCTGAATTTCAGTTTAGTTGGATTTTGGTTAGGTATCATATGAGTAGGGATGTCTTATTATATGATGTTGTCTTAGGGAAGAGAGCACAAGGCTCGTTACCTTCCAAATCATCCTGCCATTCTTATTTCTAGCGTGTTCCGTAAAGCTTTTCTGTCTTTTTATATATGTAAGGATTTTCCTTACCTGTACTTGGTCTCTCCATGTGCTTCTCTCTGCTTCTGTACATTTTTTTTGTTTGGTAGGATTATGGCAACAATTACAGTTTTCTGGTGGAGGATGGATTTATGCCCAGAAATAATACTACTTATACCTTTCTCTGTTCTGTGCTCTATGTACCACCCTGTGTGATTAAATCACAGAAAGGGAGAGGGGGATGTGATGTGTTGTCAGCATTTGGGGTGGTGCTCTCCATATAAGCCACCTTAAAGTTTCAGTTCCTAGTGGCTTGGAAGTTGTACAAATGCAACTGTTTTGCTCGAGCAATAGAAGGAGCTGTTTTTTTTTTTCAGACTTGAAGCTTCCTCAGTTCACCCCCCTCCCCTTTTTTTGTCCCAGCATCTGACTCCAGATTTGTTATGAAGATGAGCCATGTGATCTCTGATAGCAGCTTTAAAGTCCTCTGCTAAAGAGAAAACAAACCAAAAATAAACTTGAAAGTGAAGCTTGAAAGAACAAAGAATGGGGTTATATATAATGGCACAATGCAAGGGGGAGTGCTGGGGGAACCTAAAATGTACAGTTGGTAGGTTTTTTCATACCAGATTTAAGGGGATGAGCTGATAATGCTGCACTGCTGCTGTTAGACTTGACAGTTCTGCATGTTTTGCAAGTGCTGGCAAGTTGGAATACCAGAAGGCTGTGCCCATAATTCCTGGATCCTTGGGGTCTGAAGGAAAGTTTCCCAAACTCGGTGTTAAGACAGTAGCTGTAGCAGCAACTGTGATTGACAAGTACCATTACAAAAGCAATTGAAAACAGCAGTGTGGTGGGGTGACTTCTCAAGCCTTTTGATGAACTGCTTCCCAGCATACTGAATAGTGGTTAACATGATTTGTAACTGCTCTTTTGCCTGCGCTTGGTTTTGGACTTGTAAAAAATGATGGAACATGTACAAGCAGACTTCAATATTCCTGTGTTTATTAAACAAGTTCTTGGTGTTTGATATTGAGTTTCTCTAATTAGAAAGGCAAATAATAGAAAAATCCTGGAGGAGAGAAGGGTTGCTGTTTAAGTCTATGACTTTTTTTATCAACCTGGAGACTGCATTATACAGATATTTCCTATTTTTGATTGTGTGACAATACCACCTCACATTGAGTGGACTCATCTGGCCCTAATACATCTTTCGAGCTTGACAATGTAGATATGTTCTCTAGCCATACAGTTTCAGGGCAGGGAAGTACAGCTTTTGAATGGCCGAACTACCTTTTAATGTGCCTGGAGAAGAGTTCTGACTAACCCAGACTTCTTTGCTTCTAATGAGGGATTAAGTACACTTTGCCACTTCTAAGAATACATTCTGCAAGGTCCAATTGCTTTCCCCTTTAAACAAGTCCTCTTTTCTTTCCCCAGCTGAAGTGTAAGGAGATATGGAGTCTAAATGGTCTGGTGAAACACCTCTTTGGCAAGCAGCTTCTGAAGGATAAGTCTGTCCGCTGTAGTAACTGGGAAGAGTTTCCACTGAATGAGGAGCAAAAACTGTACGCAGCCACAGATGCCTATGTACGTACAAGAGATCACCATTCCACCTGTATCAGTAAATTCCTTCTCTAATGTGCTGTTAGCTGCTGGTTTTAATGCCTTTCTGCTATAGAATGTAATGTAGGAAGACTCTGAGGTCCTCTCTGGATATGCAACACTTAAAGGTGGAAATGGCACCAAGTAGGTTGCCATCTGTCTTAAGTTTTTAAACCTCAGTGTTAATCCAGAGCTTTGTAATGTCTTCTCTGTTGAAGACAGTACTGCTTGTACCTGACTCGGTAACTTGTCTTGTTGCTGAGATCACTTGAAGAGGATATTGTGGTGAGCATTTTATGTAGAAAATGGAATGTAGATGGAAGAAAAACCCCGTTCCACAGCAGCCTTGAGCCTCCCATGAGGTCCTTACCTCTTAATCGTTCATAGTGTTGCAAGATTTGCCTTTTTATTGGACTCTATTAGCAAAGCAGAGCTCCTGGAAGTTCTGTGCTCTGAATGTGCCAAGAAGTATGCCTGAGGAGGGTTTGTCTGTTCAAACTCAGGTCAAGTTGTCATCTCAGGGAAGTGAGTTGATGGAGTGATAAGGGGAATTTCATATCTGTCTGTATGGAGTAAGCCTAAATTCTTGCAGTGTGATTATCCCATGTAGGTGTAACATGGCTGGTGTGTACTTAAGTACAATAATTGCTTAGGGAAATGAACAGTGGGTAATTATTTTTTGGTTCCCTTGTCTGCAGGTAGTCACTGCAGCTTCTTAGCAGTTATGGATGTGTTTTCTGCTGGGGTTTTTGATAGTCTTGAGTTGCTTATGAACCAAAATCCTGTTAAATATAATATGTGAAACAAAATTAATAAGCAACTTTGAAGAAATACAACCTTCTCCACTGGCTAATACAGCAGAACCACTGTATGGATTACCAGGAAGAGTAATTTAGTTGCGTATCAATTTTTGTAGCTCTGTAGAAGTCTCTGCTTTTTCACCATTTTGAGAAGAATTTAGTTTTCCCACAGTTCTGTGAAGGGATTTACCAATATGCTACTACGTGCTGCCTGCTTCCTGGGAGAAAATTGTTCTTTATGGCAGCAAAATAAAATCCCCTTAGGCTTTTATTTCTGTGATGAGGTTAAATAGAGGAAGGGAGATGGAATGATGGTCTCTGTTTTCTGACTCAGGAAGCACTGCATATTCTAGTTTAGTTAAATGTTGAACTGTAGAGGGTTTAGCACCTGTGAAGACCCAAACCAGTAAGGAAAGGAGCTCTGTTTTTCGGTGCCTGGTGTACCTGCTGTAGCCAGCTTTTTCCAGGCAATGCCTTTTTCTTGCTATTCTCTGTTCACCTGGCCTGCCTTTTGGAACCTCACAGGAAGACACAAGGGAGTAGCTTGTTTCTTTCTCTTTCCTCTTTAAGATGCTTTGGTTAACATGTGTAGCCTAATTAGCACATTCCTGGCTTTAGGCTGCATTTTCCTGTTAGAACTTATTATTCATATCAAGGGAAATATTAAGCACACAGAGTCTATCTTAGTAGGTTTATAGCTATTCTCTTGGAGCACTATGTAAAATCTGAATGAGGTGGAGCAGATGGTGAGACGGGGAGCAGAGTACTTGGAGCTCTCTATTTGCAGCTAGCTTTGTAAGATAACTATGCTATCTATATAACAGTATCCCCTACAATGTGGACCCCAAGTCAGGACTTTGCCTTTTGTGAAGCATTTTGTAAAACATAACCTGGTTGTGATGGACAATAGAGTAAGGCAGACCGCTGGCCGTTGTACGGCGTGGCCAACAAATCAGAATTTGATGTTCACAATGTATTCACGCCTCACTTTGCACTAATTCTTGGGTTTCTGTTTAGTCTCTAAGATGTTGTTTCTCTGCAGAGTACAGAGTACTAATTTTTTTCCTTTCTCTTGCAGGCTGGCTTCATCATTTACCAAAAGCTGAAAAACATGAATAACAATGACCGGAAGTTATTTTGTGTAAGAGGAGGTAAATTATGCATTCAAACATAGGGAATTTATTCAATGTACAATTGAATATTCAATTTCCCAACAGGTTTTTTCATAGTATCTTTGTGTCGGGATTGTCTGGCTGCTTAGTCATTAGAGATGGCTTCTGGAGGCAGCAGACTGTAAAGGTTCTTAGATGACCCCGGTTACCATACTGTGTAACTGGTTTCTGTAGGGATGTAGGAATGCAGTTCTGGC